CATCATTTAGCTCCTCCGGATTGGAGCTGGAGCTCTCGCCAACATCACCCCTAGTCGGTCTAGGGCCAACTTCCCTGATTTCCTTACGCCGTGACATCGTTCTATAAAACAAAGGAAACAATTTAATAACGATAACACTAAAGTCCAACCGTGAACAACCCAACGCAAAAACATACTGTACACACATTTAGCATGTAATACTATGCAATGAACACATTAATGTAAGTATATAAACACATAAGCACGTAAGCAGTTAAGCATGCTTTTTCACATAGCAAAACACTTTTCCAAACAAGGAAATAACAATGCAAATGACTTCCCAGACAACCCTAGGCAAGCCTCTACCCGTCGTCCTAATGGTATTCGAACCATCGCTCTGATACCAAATTTGGTACGACCCTAACTGATGCCAAAATTTAAAAAAAATTCGGCATTTACAGACCCATCTTTTTTTCCTCAACCAGTTTTCTCTCTCGGCAGTTCTCTCTCTCGATGCCTGTTTTCTTTTTTTCTTTTACAACCTTCAACTTTTGATTAGTCCCTCATCTCTTTGTGTTTTTAAGTGCCATTTGAGGCAAAACGAAGCCCACGACGAGCTCTACGCGGTTGTACTAACAATTTCAGTTTTGGTGCTCATTTGTGCATTCGAGTTTAGAGACCCAATTTCAAGGGTTTTGTTCAATTTAGAGGTAGGGGCTCTTAATCCATGTTTTTCTTGCTCCATTGTGAATTATATCTCTCTTGTTGTGACAAGCATGTTTAATTTGGAAGTTAATTGTTTCAATGATTATATAAATGATGTTTAGAAAAATTCATGATTATGAATGAGTAGAAAAGCATGCTTAGAGGTTGTCTTGTTGTGTTTAATGTTTTGATAATTCATTTGGAGATGTTAAATATGATGTATGCTTAATTATGTGGTGTAAAATTCTAAATGCCATAATATTGAAAGCATGGGATATATATACATGTACATACCATTGGGTTTGCATGAAATAGGAGAATTTGCTTGAAACAAAAAGGGAAATTTTGGGAAAAGAGTTTTTACGAAATGGTTTTATGAAAACCCGGTCGCCGCGGAGGTGCCAAAGGGCCGGAGTGTTAATATAGCCTAGAGGGGACTAGGGAGTCGCCCTAGCGTGGTTGAGCTAGCTGGGCCCCATAATGACGCCGCAGGGGTACCAAGGGTCAGGGACACTAGCCAATCCTCCTCTTGTGCCGCTGCGGGGTCACCAAAGGACGGGTTATATTAATAGTTTGAAAGTGATGGTTTTGAAATGTGAAAATGGGGAGCGACATCTGCATGCATTTGCATTCCATGGCATTGCATTGTTTGCACTTGAGTTTGGTTGAAATGTTGTATTATCCCGACACTGTATGATCCCCATTCCTATTGATCTATTCTTTGTATGGATTCACAAGGACACAAGATGCGTGTCTTAAGTGCTACTTACTGAGCTTTTTGCTCACCTTATTATTTAATAATTTTTTTCAGGAAACGGGAAAGAAGTGGCGGATGACTTTCCACCACAGGCCTAATTTGAATTAGAAGACTTCTTTTTGCTATTTTTGTATTAAGTCCCATATTTTTGTAAAATCTTAGTTTGTTATATTTGGTATAGAGATTCGTGAACCCTTGTTATTGTAACTATATTTTGGGATTGTAATTATGATAATTTAGATTAATTGGTGTGTGGATGTTCCACCATGAAAGGAACTATGTTAAGGTATAATGAACGGATGAATGGGATGCTAGATGATTTTATGTGTTTTGTGTATTGGGACAGGTTGTTGAAGGCCCATTTTTAGGGGAGGTTATGCCGAATTTTTTTTAAATTTTGGCATCAGTTAGGGTCGTTACACTCTGACCCAACCCACCCATTTAGCCCCAAATCCAACAGCCTTGAGGACTTTAAACAAAAGGAACAGGCCACTGAATCATATGCTTTTTTGAGATTTATTTTGAAGGCCATAGAAGGTTTCACCTTAGAAGAGTCAAAACCTCTCAAAAGTTCATTCACCATGATGATATTATCATGAAATCTTCTTCCCCTTATGAAAGCTGTTTGTTCATGTAACGACCCACTCCACCACATGGTATGATATTGTCCGATTTGGGCCTGAGCCCGCACGGTTTTGCTCTTGGGCTTCACCCAAAAGGCCTCATACCAATTGGAGATGACACACTTACATATAAGCACTTCACCTTTTGGGGTGAAGCTCAAGAGCAAAACCGTGCGGGCTCAGGCCCAAAGCGGACAATATCATATCATGTGGTGGAGTGGGTCGTTACAGTTCACAACCCACCAGCTTGCCCAAACAGAACTCAATCATGTAGCCATAATCTTTGTGATGCTCTTGTATATTGTGGTACATAAAGAGATAGGTCTGTAATCTGAATCATTGATACAGTTATTTGTCAAAGGGATCAGACATGTAAAGGAAGAATTAATGCCTTTTAAGACAGTTTGGAATTGGAGAAGAGAAATTGGACAGCACTAACATCTTTTCCCATAATCCCCCAAAACTGCTGCAACTTGACTTTCCAAATATTGATCATCTTCCAAAGATCATTTTAGACTAGGTTCAATGGAAAGAGAAGAATTAGATTGCAGATGATCACTTAAATAAATTCTGATAATGATTCACAAAATCTTGTCTAATCAACTCCATTTTTTTTTTTGAAATGTAAGAATTCAAAATGATAATCTTCATTAAAGTAAATGAATATATGTATTACTCAAATATGTACAAAACATGCAGCATAACACACAATGAACACCGAATAAAGGCAAGTGGATCAGAACAAACTAAAACAGGTAAAACCAGTGAAGTTGGTATAGAATTTTGATTTTCTTTTTTTTCTGTCTAATAGAACATTGAGTTCAAGGTCGTGGACTTTCCGGAGTTATCTCCCTGGAAAACCTGCAATCTGTTTCTCCTCATCCATCTTATACCACTCCCCGAAGTGCATTTCCTTTCATTAAATCAGCAAAGAGCTATGACCTTCAAAATTCAAGACCTTCTTTGGCAATGGTGACGAAAAGTAGCTATCTGCTATGTCTGGCTTCTTGTTCTGATCAAAATATAGAGAACATCGCACTGTTTGATTCCTTGATGAAGCATCATTCTAAGGTTGGCTGAAATATCCATCTTCCATATTGAATGATTCAATCTTTTGGCTTAGATTCTCAATCTGATCCAGTGGACAATATGTTTGACTACTTATGTTGGAATTCAAATTTACATTATTAAATTCTTCACCACCATTCCAATCATCAGAACACTTGCTTGGAGTATGGAAAGAATATGATGATTCTTGAGATGGGTGGTGAACCCATGTACTTTCTGGAAAATCAGAATTTCCAACTAACATCCCTTGTTCATCTTCTTCAACCATATCTGCCCAACTCTTCTTACTTTTACACGTAGAGAATTCCTGGGGGTGTTCCAGGTTTGCTGCAGTAGGCTGGCTTAGGCTCTGGAGTTTTTCAACCCCACACTGCCTGCAATAGTAATTTTGGAGCTCCGATCCCAAACTCCATCAGAGGAAGCTTCCGTTGCTCTCATATAATTAACATCAACTGCTGATTCCATCGGCAAGTTACTGTATTTCATTGCCAATTTCTTCTGCCCACCAGTTTCCCATGAATTCATCTTCAAGTCTCCAATAACAATAGACCGTAGAATGGATCCATTGTTCCTTCAGCATGAGTTCCCTTTGCCCGATTTCTCCAATCTTGACTAGTAGATGATGAACAACGTTTTAACTTCTACAATATTGCTATCGACAGTCCATTTGTGGAACCTGGTAATTGTCTAGTAGATGATGAACAACGTTTTAACTTCTACAATATTGCTTTCGACAGTCCATTTGTGGAACCTGGTAATTGTCTATCAAGATTTTGGTTGGCCTGTAATTGTACATTTTCAGTAGTTGCTCAAATGATAATTTACAATTACAGCCACCAACCGCATCATCCCCATCAATTCCCTCCTCTGATCTCCATTACTGAATGACCGTGAACATCTGGGCTGTGTAAATGAAACTTTAGGAATTTCCCTAGCAGGAAGTGGAGAAGCAAACACATTCTTGCCAGTAGAACCTACTTCTCTTCCATCCATATTAATCCTGTTTTCCTTACTTTTGCCGCCAAAATCAGCTGCCCTTCTTTCATATTGGTTTCGAGTGTGACATCCTTTCAAATTATTGGCAAATGAAGTCCTTGGAGAAGGCTGCAAACCATTTCTTGATCCATATGGTGATTTTTTAAAATTCCATTGTCAGAACAAACAAGAGATGTGGGAAGAGTTCGAATTTCCTTATGGCTCCTTTCTTCCTCAGCAATGGGCTTCATACTGGAGTGTGATTTAAATTCAGTGAATATCTGAATAGCACGCTCAAATGATTTAACGCACGAATTATCCATCTCTTCATCTTCAGATGAAGCTCTTATGGTTTGAAGCAAAAATTTAGTTTCTGTCATCCTGTTCATATGCATCAAGCAGATGCCAGACTGCACTGCTTGTTTGTATCCGTCTCAAGAGAAATTGCTTTTCAATTTAGATAATTTAATACTTGTTTAATAGTGTTATTTATTTCCTTTAGTTTTGTATCTTTCAGTTCTGGAGTCATTTGTTCTATTATATTTCTCACTCTCGGCTGTTTTTGGGGTGCTGCTGATACCAAATCCAGTTGGTTGGTCATACAGTTGTACATTGTTTACTACATTTGCAATACAGACACTATTTCTCAATCAGTATTTTGTTTTCTGTCATTGTAGAGTGTAGACCATTGGAACTTGTTCATTGTGATGTACAGTGACCAGCCTTTTGGGGTAGATGTTATTAGAGATTTTATTAGCTTTTTATCTCTACATTTTTTCTGATGCCACTGCCTTAATATTGTGCACAGAAAGCTGTGGCTGTTTTGTTAACTATGCTATTATTTAATTAATCATACTCTATTCGTTTTTCATGTGTTAACGGGTTTTATTCAGAATTCATTCTGACGGGGAAACATATAAAGAATGTTCCTTCTATTTGTCAATTCGGATTGGTTGATGAGTTCCCACCAATTTGTTTGCTAAAAGCTGCTTGATGAATTCCAAGAAGTTGCCAAAGGTATCTGCAAGGAGCGAGGAGCACTCTTCAATCAGCAGATATACTCTGCTCCTTTGCCAACTCTGGATATATCTCCCAGTTTTAAGTTCTGACCTCTCTATTCTTTTGTAATTTTTTGCTTCTTTGCAGCTCGAGGCCATAGGTATACAAATCTCTGCAATTTGAGATGTCATTAGATGCATTTAATGTTATAAGACTGAATCCAAGAGATTCACTCGTAAGAACCTTGGAAAACGTCTTGACCCATTGTGATTTGTGCAGGAATGATCGACTCCAGAAGAAGAATGTCAATAAGCTATAGGCAGCAGCACCTCCAGCAACATATCTTTGAGATGATCGTGAGATATAATTAGATTTATTTTATAACTTTTGAAAAAATAATTAGATTTATTTTATTAATAATCTGTTTTGTAATTCATATTGTTTTTGATTAGTCATTTACCCTTTTCAAGATTTTTAGACTATTTCATACAATGTTTACTATGATATGATACAGTGAGACGCAATTATAACCTGCAAATCATTACATGGGCTGGGCCGCGATGCTTTTTACTTCTAATCGAAGTTATCAAACTTACTAAAAAGTATCCAGCTTATTTATAACAACAAAGGAAACGCGCGAAATCCCATATATACTCCGTACGGTCTTCACTCTGTAAAAGGAAACCTTCCCTGTAGATGGAACTTGGGAAACAAGTCAAGTCTTGTTTCTTTAGGATAGGCTTAAAAAACCTCTTTTATTTGCTAATTATTAATTCCATGTAATATAAAATTCTGAAATAAAAGGTTCCAAATTTTCAACTTGAAAACCACTCCTCTCCTAGTCGGTTTCCAACAACTTTGCATTCTCCTATAAATACATGATACCATTACATTCTTAGTTAGAAAACTTTCCCTGTATTCCGATTCTCTTCTTGTTTGTTGCTACTTTAGCTTGTAGGCCTATTCTTCTTGTTCTTGCAAAGTTGGATCCATCAGAGTTAAGAGCATGGGGTGTGAATCTCCAATCAATTCAATGACCCTTATTACTTCTTCCTTTGAAGAAGAAGAAGAAGAAGATCTTCTCAGTAGTTCTTTTCTCAATCTTGCCCTTGAGAAAGATGGTGAAGTAATTAGGGCGTGTAACAAGCATGTAATTAATAATAGTAATATTTCTGACGAGGGCAACAATATTGTCTTCAATGGCACTGCAGGAGGCTCATCTTCTAACACCTCTGCAGATCAAATTCAAAGGGAAGTAGTGGATACGCGTTCCATAAGAAGCTCTGATAATTGGTCTTCCAATTCAGATACTGACAGACAACAATTCTTTGCATTGCCGTCAACTGCTCAGGATAGTATCTGGGGATATCATCAACATCCTAGCAATGCACATGGTAATTCCTAATATCAATATCTTTAGTATTTGGTAACATATTTTATATCTGTGCAAGAATTTGAATATATTAAATAGGATTAAGTGCAAGAAACACCGGAGGTGCAAAAAAAACCATATTAATTTTTAGGTTCAAAAACTGCTGAATTTTTTTTTTTTTGGCTCCTAATGAGTCATTTTGAGCAAATTATTTTTTATAGAAAACCCAAATTAAAATGCCCTCTTGCTCTGCTGATATAAGCAAAAATTCTCTGTGCAAAACCCACATCTTCATCGCCGCCACATCACAACCACCATCCCCACAGCAGTCGCGACACCCATAGCCACCACCACTGCCACAACACAGCCCCATCTTCACCACCACTGCCACTCCCACCCCAACCATCACCATCGCCATTCCCCACTCCCACCACAACCACCACCATAGTTGAACCCATTAAAGTCGGCCCAGTTACACCACCACATACCCACCCCGCAATCACCACCATCCCTACCCGCCAAAGTACCGCTGTCATCTCCACCCCAACAATCACCCGTGTATTTCGGCATGATTAGCTCATTACCCGCAATAAAATCAAAAACAAAACCTCACTTATTCATCGCACAAACCTCATCGGCGACTATGGGGATCTATGGATTCCGGCGACCACGGAGGAACGGATTGATTGTTGATTGGAGCTGCACACGAATGTCTGTACTGTATGTCTGTTTAATTATTTGTATATATAACATACATATGCGCATGCACATAAATATATATCTATCTTTAAATTTGTATCAAATCAAAGCGCTAAGTTTCTAAGGCTACTAGAGGATTGTAGATTTTTGTTTGCAAAGAGAGAGAGAGAGGTTAGAGAGAGAGAGCGTCTCAGTGGCGGATCAAGGACCCCAAGCAGTACTGGGTCTAGTCCCCTCTCTCTTCGAATCCTCTCTGCAAAACGCACATATTCACCACTGCCAAATCACAGCCACCATCCCCACAGCGTTGCGACAGCCATAGCCACCACCACTGCCACAACTCAGCCCCATCGTCAGTTCGTCACCACCACCGCCACGGCCTTGGCCACCATCACCATCGCCATTCCCCACTCCCACCACAACCACCACCATAGTTGAACCCACAATAAAATAAAAAACAAAACCTCACTTATTCATCGCTGCCCGTCGCACATACCTCATCCGCGGCCATGGGGATCCATGGATTCCGGTGACCACGGAGGAACGGATTGATTGCATCGGCAATTTGTGGCGGCGGAGTCGAAAGATTGGGTTTAGATTGATTGGGTCGGCAATCCTTGGAAGCTTGGTTGAAATAAATTCGTGAGTTGTAACCGTTCGAGGAAGGAAAGTGAAGTGCCATGAGGGCGAAAGCAGGGAGGGCATTTTGGGTTTTTTAATAAAAAAACAATTTAGTCAAAATGACTCATTAGGGGGAAATTTGCACCAAAAAATTCAGCAGGGATTTTTTTGCAAAAGGAGGGTGTTTCTTGCTCCAAGGAGGGTGTTTCTTGCACTAGGGTTCAATTTTCTTTGTTGCTTATATTTCTATTTATATATAAGGGTTTAATTTTCTTGGTTGGTTATATTTCTAGGACAAGGTGGTCTGCTTTGGAACCAGAATTCTGCTCTGAATGTTGGAGCCGGTACTGTCTTCGGGAGGGAAAATAATTATATGGTGAGTGGGAATCAGTATTTTTATCCAGAAAATCAAAATTTGTCTGCCAGTAGTAGTGCTACTCGGCATCAATTTGGTGCTACTACAAGCTATGATACTGGTTATTTCAATAATGGCGGGTATTATGGTTCAACGAATCAGAATAATTATGTTGGAGACTGGTGTGAACCAAGACCTGAGTTACCGACTGGATACATAGTCACGTTGGCTAAAGATAAAGAATGCTCCAGACAGTTGCAGGATCTTTTGAAATCTGACATTTATTATGCAGATCTCATACTTTTGAGCGTACTAGACTCTATGTTTGAGCTGATGATGGACCAACAAGGACATCATGTCTTTGACAAATTAGTGGAATCATACGCAGGCAAAATGCAGTTGCAATTGATTGTGGAAAACATTATCTTACGACCCCATTCACTTAAGGAGGCAGCATTAAATCAATATGGGTGAGTATTCACATCCTAAACAGTTGGTTAACTTGGTTTTATTTTAACATTCTTATTATATTGAGCTTGACTAATGGCATAACTTGTTTAACAGCTCATATTCAATTCTGAAACTCATCAGACAGCTGAAGAAGTCACCCTCGGCCTTAAAGCTGACAGCAGCCCTATCTACCGGATTTTATGAATTGATGATCAATAAAACAGGCAAGCGTGTTATTACTCAGTGTTTGGTTGGATTGGATTATAAGACGAATGAGGTAATTTTATTCTCCTGTGTTTCCCTGAGGTTATTTTCCACTATATGCAGTTAACTATAAACTGACCAAATCAAAATTCACAAAACAATATGCAATTGAAGTTGAAAATTAAGCTTTTATTTAAGATCTCGTAGTATCATGAATTCATAACAATCATTTGATCTCAGGTATTATATGGAGAAGCGATAAGGAATTGTATGTCATTAGCTACACACCCAGAGGGATGTGTATCCCTGAATGATTGCATTAATTGCATAACAGGTGATCACAGACAGTACCTCCTAAGCATTATCTCGAGTAACTCTGTTTTCCTTTCGTATGATCCTTCAGGGTACGTATCAATCTCAACATTTCATATCCTAGAAGCAAGACCACTTAATTTTCATGCAATTATGTAATCGTGTTGTTTAGGTAAACTAAACTCATTTGTGTTGTTGATGGTCTTAATTTGTCCAGGAACTTTGTGGTGCAACATGTCCTAGGACTCCATAACCATGATCTTACTCTTGATATTTGCACTCGTCTCCGAGGCAACTATATACAGCTCTCAACGACACAAACTGGCAGCCACGTAGTTGAGAAATGCATAAGATTGTCCAGAGAAGGGATGCGTTATGTGGTTGAAGAGCTTATAAAGAGCAACAAACTTCTAGAACTTGCTCGAGATCAATTTGGTAATTATGTGATCCAAACAGCTTTAAAGACCACAAAGGTGAGTCACCATTTCTTATTTGCTTTTTTTTTTTTTTTTCATAAGGAAACTAGCAACTTACACTTTGATGACATATACAAATATTTGGTTATATATGTTTGTTTGTAGAATATAATTAACTGTGTTCGGTTTTCCTTTGCAGGTTGCCGATACAGATCTTTATAAATCTCTTGCAAGGGCCTTCCAACCACATTTGTCAACTCTCCAGTACCGTAAACCTGGAAAATATGTGGTTGAACTGATTAGAGGAGAAGATATCTGAAGGCAAAGTCTTGTTTCTGAATGAGAGAATATATGTTGATTATATATGAAATTCATTCTTGTTGATGGGTTTAGTATGTTTATTTATGTTTAGTTAGGGTGAAGTGCAAATTTGTTGCCTTTTTGTTGAAGGGTAGGATGATGTAATTAAGCTCTGTGCAAATTGTTTGCTGGTTTTGTAGCTAAAAAAAGATGTAGGGAGGCTTCCCTGTTTGGTATACATAAATTGTAGAGTTCCTATTTATCTAATGACTCGAATTTTGTCTCTTCTATTCTAAACACATGATTTCTCATCCTAACTAATTGTTAGTATCTCTATTGATTTGGTTACATCCAATTATTACATGCTTTTACCGCTACAATACAAGGATATATATATGGGATTCTAAGATATCAATGATTTAAGTGATGCAAATGAACTGATGTATGCTCCTATATATATAAAATAGAAAAAACAAATGTTGAAGGGTGGCTTGTCATAAATCTTAGTGTTGAAAATTATTTGCCCATGTGTTAGTACTACAGAAAAATTCATTGTAAAGGTTCCATTTGTTGAAAGCTTCTTTATCACCACTTAGTACTTGCCAAAAAGAAAATAAATAAATATATTTAAAAGCATAATTTGCAAGCTTTTGCAACTGAAGTAGAGGGAAAAATTATTTAGGGAGTTGATGTGAAGTAACCAAACCTTTTTACTAAATACAAATGGAAGTAGAAAGGATAAACTAAAAGAACAGACCGAACTACATTCTCTTAGGAACAACCCTTTGCCAACAAGCTTTCATAGCTGAGTTGGTTAGAGCACTTGTTTAGTAACGGGAGGTCTTTTCATTAGATGGATGTATCATCATTATGATACACATGTTTTTGTTATAATATTAATACATATACCTGATATGTTGAAATCATTGAATGCATCATTGCCTCAGAGACACAGAAGTATTGGTCTGAAATAATGTCCTCGTACATGTAAAACTGATAAAAACCACTCCTTTCTCCTACCAGTTCAGACATTGAATTGGTCACATTTGCAGCCATACTATAGTATCAGATGCTGAATTTCAATCTGCAGGCACCAACATCGGAATTTGCTGTCAAAGTCGAACAGAAGGATAATCGATTGTATATTGTGTGGTACATAAAGAGATAGGTCTGTAATCTGTATCATTGATACAGTTATTGGTCATAGGGATCGGACATGTTAAGGAAGAATTAATGCCTTTTACGACAGTTTGGAATTGGAAAAAAAAAATTGGATAGTACTAACATCTTTTCCCATAATCCCCGAAACTGCTGCGACTTGACTTTCCAACTATTGATCATCTTCCAAAGATCATTTTAGTCTAGGTCCAGAAGTAGAATGGCAATAAGCTGTAGGCAGCAGCACCTCCAGCAACTTGTCTTTGTTCCACAACCACTCTTCACCCACTTCAATAAGCCGGGATTCTCCATACATCAGTTCCTTTAATGGACTGGTCAACTCTCTTGCTAAGTCATCCCTGAATTAATTACCTGATTGCTTTGTTCAGAAACTTTGGGTTGCTACCAATGTGAATAATGGGCACTTCAATAGCCGGAAGTAAGGCACGCAATGCCTGCTACAACAAGCTATGATTTCAGTTTGACAGGAAATCATACTCCATATCGGCGAACTAATTGCAATATTGATCGGATTTTGAGATGATCGTGAGATATAATTAGATTTATTTTATTAATAATCTATTTAGTAATTCATATTGTTTTTGATTAGTCATTTACCCTTTTCAAGATTTTTAGACTATCTCGTGGCATGCGCATGGAGGAAGATGAAGTCGTTGTTGAGGCGGAGGTGGTTCTTGACCGCCCACTTACGCTGTAGGGGCTCTCTTAGTTCAGATCAGCAGTGATCGTAATTTTGTGGGCTTTAGTGGGGTCACTGATTGTGCGAGTGGAAGGATTAGGATCGCTGCAGGTAGAGATGATTTTTTCAGTGATATATTCCAAAATATATGGCGATGATTTTTTGATCCGCCGTAAATTTTCAGTCCCAATGTGCAGCAACGATTTTTTCAGTGATGCCATGATTTTTTCAACAATTTTTTGTAATGTTTCAATTGGATATATATATATATATATAAAATGTTAATTAAAGATTTTTTTTTTTTAAATGGTGGGACCCACATGATATTATAACCCATGGCTTTATAGCCAATACTTTCAACAGACCTCACCTTCTCTCTCGGCCAGTTCTCTCCCTCTCTCCCGCTGCTTACTTGTTTTTTTTTCTTTTTCTTTTACAATTGCAACCTTTGATTACTTTCTCATTTCTTGAAATTTTTGGGTGCCGTTAAAACGAAGAGTCCGACGAGATCTATGCGTTGATATAAGCAATTCCTTATTTAGCCAACTCTAGGGATTTCGAATTTTTAGACCCATTTGGGAGTTTTAGCATCCTAAGAGGTAGGGGTTTCTAATTTACATTTTTTTGGACCATTTGTGAATTATTCTCCTTAAATTGTGAATTAACATGCTTGATTTGTAGAAATTTCATACTTTATTATATAGATATTGTGCCAAAGTTGTGACTATGTGTTATTTGATATATATGATGATGAAGCATGTAAATTGTTGATTAATTCAAGGCCTTTGTGCCTTTAGTGCTAGTTTAGTGATTAAAAAGCATGAAATATAATTTTGGAAATTTTTATGTTGTAAAGCATGTCTAAGTATTAAATTTCTATGGCTATGGTGTTAATTAACTTGTTGAAAATTGCTATAAGAAAGCATGTTAATTTGTATAGTATAAATTCTTCATTTTCATAGTATTGGCAAAGCATGTAATATTCATGCATAGCATTGGGCATGAAAAGGGGAAAAATTGATTTGAAAGAAATGAAATGGATTTTTGGAAGAAGGTTTTGAAAAGGATTTTTTTAAAAAACCCGGTCGCCTAGGGGTTACCTAAGGGCCGTGGTGTTAGTGAGGCCTAGAGGGGACTAGGGAGATTTCCTTAGCGTGGTTGAGTTACCTGGCCCTAAATGATGCCACAGGGTTACCATAAATCAGGGACAATAGCCAATCCTTCTCTCGTGCCGCCGTGGGGTCACCATGGGACGGGTTTCACTAACGGTTTGGAAATGATGATGGAAATGGTTTTGGAAAATGTAACGACCCGGTCATTTGCCTCACTTTCCTTTTTCTTGAAATTTTACTAATGAATTTTTTTCGTTTAATTTTCTTTTTTGAGCTCTGTTTCGTATCGTTTAGTGTAATCTCGAGTGCTCGGAATTAGTTTCTGAGACTCTTTCATGTGAATTGACAACTTCCTTTGAGGACCGAGTTATTTTCGCATTTTCACTTTTCGGACACTATGCGCCTTTCGTCCTTTTCCCTGTTTCGTCTTTTTCCCTATTATGTCTTTTCTCCGTTTGTCACATTGTTGGCACAACCTCACTTCTCATGCTCGGAGTTGGTTTTTGATTTCACGTGCCTTCATCGTGAGTGGTTTCCTTGAAATACGTATCTTTACTTTTGCAAGAAAATACTCTAGTTGCTCCCGGTGCCTATAGGGGCATGGATGCACAATTTTTCAGAATCTTTTTCATTTCTTGGGGTATTTTTCATAAATATCTTTTGAAGATATTTTTATTCTGGGGCAGTTTCGCAGTTAATTATTTTTATAGGGGCCATTGTGCAATTAACGAAAGTTATTGCAAAATGCCTCGTCTGAAGCCTGGATTCTCGTACGGGATTCATTTTCACATTTCGTTGAGTCATGGACTCTTGGAAATTCCTTCTGGTCATTTTTCTCCAGTTTCAGAGTTTCTGGACCCGGTTGTGGCCGAACTTGTTCGGGGCATAACTTTCTGCTCGGGATTCAGTTTTTGACGCCGTTTCTTCTGTTGTTCATATTTTATCATTTTGAATCTTTCTCATTCATGAAGTTTTACCATTTGAGCGTGTTTGCTCAAATTCCACTTTTCCGGACCCGGCAGGGCCCGTTCGAGGCACTTTTTGAGATTTCTTTAAAAGGGGGGTGAAATATTTTCTTTTTCATCTTCCCCACTCTCCTTGCACGACCTGAAGCAACCATGGATGCCCATGGAGCTGCCACCTTCTCTTTCCTCCTTTGATTTACTTTTCCTAAGTGAAAAGTCTTCAGCCTTCACGGTTTTTGTTCCCCTCGACGTGTTCTACCATTCCCCCTTATTAGAATTCATTTCTGACCACTTCTTGAGTTTGGATTTGAAGTCAAATTGTGATTTTCATTGGGCTTCCTTCGGATTCGTGTAGATCGTGTTGTCCCCGTCAAAACCTTTCGATTTCGGCAGATTCGGAACACTTTTATTCTGGTGGAGATTTGGGGTTTTCATCTCAAATTGAGGTAGGGGGTGTTATAATTTACTTTCTTGCTATATTATATGCTTGTGATACTTATACAACTTGATTACATGCTTGAATCACAAAATCTAGAGATTTTATTATTTATTTTTCTTGTGAAGGATTTAATTTTTTCGATTGTCCATAACTTTATTTAATCATGTGGCATGATAGAATATTACCCCTTGATATGTAGATTGACATATATTAAATCTAGATTATTTGGACAAGTAATGAAGATTTTATTTAATATTTATCTTGAATAAAATATTAAATCATGTGGCCTTATCTAGTTTTAAATCAACATGTGATAGCATATTATATTAGGCTTTAGCATGCTCTTCAACATAGATTAATTTGAGAGTAATCGGAGAAGTTTTGAAATCTAATAATATTTAATTAATTAGATTAATTAAATTGCTCCAAGTGTACTATTCATCCGGTTGGATTTCCGACTTGAAATTCTTGATATGCATGTCATATAGTTTCACATATATTAAATTTAGAATATTTGATTAGGTTTTGAAACCTTTCAATTATTATTTTTCTAGTATTAAAATTTAATACTCGTGGCCGTACCTTGTATGAAATGTACTTGTACCGTGTTCTTAAATCAAGTTATGATATGTTGTATAACATATATTAAATTGAAGTCATTTGGATGACTTTCAAAATCTAGAGATTTTAATTAAATGAAATAATTAAAATCCATTTAATGGTTCTATGCACTTGATTAAGTTTCTAACCTTGTATTCATGATTTTCTTGATAAGTTCCTTCACGTGTATTACTTGAGCATAATCGGATAAGTTTTGAAACTTACATTTATTTATTTCCCTTGTATGAAACTTGACTCACATGGTTGTGTCGTGTATGAAATAAACTTGAAACTTGACATTGAACTTGGCCTTGACATGATTCT